GCGCTTCCAGAGCCCCCCGGGCCATCCACGAGATGAGCAGGACAGCCTTGGCCAAGTTGCAGGGGCCTCCGCTGCCTCTGGAAGCAAGAACTGCCCCTCTTCCCTGGAGGTCTGCTGAGAAGAGCGCAAGAGGCGTTCAGCACTTCTCCTGGCCTCCATACTTGTGGGAAACGGGGCGAGTCGAGACTTCTCTCCACCTTGTCAGATCTGTTGGGGTCACAGTCCCAGCCAACATATTTTGGTTCAAGAAGGTGGCTTCTTCCTACAAGTCTCTCTGGAGAACTGTTGTCCCAAGGAGGTGGACTGTCAGATCCCGGGTTTGCTGGCTCCCAGTGGGTGATGTCCCAAGTTCCCAGTTGAAGATCTGCTTTAGGCTTCCCCTCACGGGGCAGAGACAGGAAGCCTCTGCTGTAGGGCAGAACTAGCCATGGGGCTTCCCACCCTCCCTAGGAAAGCCCTTCTGTCAGCTTGCAGACTAGCAGATAAAAAGCGGTCCTCTGAAAAAGCAGTCCCATCGTGGTCTCCGAGCCTGAGAAGAGATCCATTGACCCTAGCTTCTTGGCTCCATCCTCCTCAGCCAGCCCTTCCAGGAAACTCCCAGGCACGGCTGAAAGGAAGCCAGCCTCCTGGTTATCGGTGGCCCCAATCAGCCAAAGATGGCAGCTCTGCTGAGAGCTCACAACCGAGGTCAGGTGATGACCACCCCTCTCCTGGCCTTCACCCAACCCCTTTGATCTTGCCCCTTCTCAAACTGGAGAGGCAGCCAGCCAGAGGCAGCTTCATTAGCAGCTGGCAGCTTGTCAGGGAAAGGAATGTTCTGTAATTACTGCAAAGGGGTGGAGGTGCCCGCTCAGGAGCTGGCAGCGTCTGCGCCCCGTTGAAAAACACACACAGGGCATTTCTTGCCTTGAAGGGCCCAAGCCCCAAGTCCTTCCAGCTTCCTCTTGGAAGCTTAATTTCTCTCGGCCCAATGGGAGGGAGAACAGGACTCTGGCATGCTAAGATGAGGCCCGAATAAAACCACCGCCTCCTTCTTCAAAAAGAGAAGGAGAAATTCCAAACAGGGATCTTGGCCCGTGCATAAAGCAAACGCTGCCGCAGCTGGAAACCCTTTGATCTCAGCAGCTCCTGGAAGGAAGGAGAGCAGATCAATGGGAATCTTCGGCTCTTCCGGAGCGGGAACTGCAACAGCGTTCCAAGCAGAAGTACCAAAGAGGCTCACGGCACCTCCAAAAGGACCCATTTATTATGGAGCAATCCATTTGCGAAACCCGGGGGGTGTTGCCGGATCCTTCGGTGTTCAGTCTGATAACCGAAGCGACGTTTCTGAGCTGCGAAACGAACGAGAGGAAACGGAGGGTCTCCGTGGACTGCCTCAAAGGAATCTTTAAACTGAAACTCACGTTCTCCGTCTCCTGCATTCTCCATCACCCGGATTTTTAAAAACCCCAAACCTTGATGTGCATCTGCGGAGCTCAAAGCGGGGGCCAAGGGGTCGCTTTCAGCGGGGACCGATGAGAATTTGGCTGCTCCCATTGAATGGGTTTTGCAGTGCCAGACTCGGCACAGCTAAGATGCCAGGAGTTAATGGGGTAATATGAAATCGTGCACGACAGGATATTAGCCACATGCAAGATCCCTGACCTGAACCAGCTGCCCCCCTTCCCCAAGCGCCTGACGTGTCTGCAGACGTTCACCCGGATCGTTTGCTGTCAACACCATCACCCCACTCCACGGGAAGAGGGTTGGGCGCTTCGAGCTCCTGGGCCAAACCGGCCGCTCCAGGGAGTGACTCAGGGCTGTTGCAAAGCAATTAATAATAGGGTGGGCAGGACCAGCTCTGTTCTTGGGGAAGCTAAAACAAGCATCAATTCGGGTATGGAGAAGACCCAGGCAGGGAGTGAGGATGTTAACCGGGGGGACAAGTTCCAGTGTCACTCTTAGGTGTGATAAACAGGCCCGGATCGTAACAAAAGTCTGAACACACCTGGTGGAACCTACACCTAAGTGAGGACAAAGGGGGGAAGTTCAGGTTTTACTCCATCCTCCATTGTTTTTATAGAAAGGAATCCATCGTGCCAGACGGGAGTGAAGAAGGCAGCGCATGAATCAAACCGAATAATTGTTCATATTTCCTGCCCAATTTTCTACCTAAACCTCCCCACTGAGCTAATCATCAGTTATTATCCATGGTCCTTCCCTTGCCAATTAAATCTTCACAGGAATTATCTTATTATAACCAACATCCTCGCCTTTTCCCATCCAATTAATGAAGCACGTGGTTGTGCATCGCCAAACCCTGACAAAGATGTTCTTCCCCGGCCTTCCAGCTCGGGCATTTCCCTCCGCCGCATGCCCCAAACGCCCGGTGTTCCTCTTGAGGTCCTCTGCCAAAAACCCTGAGTTTGTCCTGCCAAATCTTTCGTTACCTTCAGCTCATAAGATGCTGTCGCACCTCATCTGCCCTCAGCATCAAAGGCTTCATTCAAGGTGAAGAACAACGGATAAGAAAGGTGGAAGTTCACTATTTTCACATGAATAATTAATAAGAATAAGAATAAGAATAAGAATAATATCATCATCATCATCATCATCTCGGGTCCTTGGGAAGGACTCGATAGGTGGATAAAAATGCCAGATCCAGTCTCAACATCTGGCTGACAGCCCAGGGGCACAGGACACACTTGCCTTTGGACAGACTTTTGAAAAATGGAGACTCAGCTGCAGAAAGGTTGGGGGTGCTGCGGGGGGGAGAGACAAAGCCGGGGTCTCAAGAGGCCATCAAGGAATCCAGGAACCCAAAGCAGGAGCTGAACTGAAGGCTGGTGGTAGCGTGGCCAACAGCGCCCCCTGCTGGACAAAGGCCCGAGCGCAGGCCCAGGGCCGTCTCGCCTGCTTTAAAGCCGCAGGTGCCTTTGCTCTGCTTGGCCTCCTGCCCGCGGGTTCCTGCAGGGAGGACCGTCTGGGGCCTTCTGGAAAGGGGCTCCCTTCTTCTCCCAGGGTTCAAAAACCAGTTCAGGATCAGCAAAACCAACCTTATCCTCTTTATCCTGCTGTGCAGCGGCCAGAGGCCCAAAGAGAGAAGGAGGGAAAAAGGGGGGGGGGGCTGCAACCTGAGCCAACGTCTCAGACAAGACCCTCCCTGGTCCTCATGAAGATGAACGGGTGGAGGGGGGAGCACATTCAGACTTGCAAGATTCTGTTACTATAACTTTACAGTAAAAGTAGTCTTGACCTGCATGACTTTGGTTTCCTAGTCTGGCCTACCTGGAAGGGCTGGCCCCATGCTATTTAAATCAGGGTCCATCCCCAACCATTTCATCCCTGGCTCTTTTATCCACCTTTTCCGAGTGAGGAACCAGCTCGCCAGCCTGACACGCCTAACTCCCACCGACTGCCACCCCCACCAGCCAGGCTAAGAAAAGGGGCTCAGCCCACAGCTGCAGCGGAATGGGGACCACTCACCGATATCTTGGTGAAGATGGAGAGCAGGAGCGACAAGAAGGACAGGCAGATCCGCATTCTCTCCCCTCCGAAGCGCCTCTGGAGGTACTCCGGCATGGTGACGATCTGCGGGGAAGGCGGGAAGGGTCAGCCTCCAGACAGGGAA